AATCTGTTGCAGCTGCAGAGCTCCCCAATTCAGATTTAGTAACAGTTTCACAGGCTCCCTCTAGGGGAAGAACTTCTATTTGTTCTTTTCTTTTAAAGGCAGATCTAGCAACAAAGTTTCCTTTTTCAGATATTTTGTCAATATTTGTTCCTTTAAAATGCGAAGGAGAACAATGGAATCACTATGTTTCTCTTCTTTTAACTATCTGTCAAAGATGTTTGTCTCTGGTCAATGAGCTTCCCAATGAATGTCAGTCCTGACACCCCGCTCCCAGGATCAAGACAGTGGAAAATTACTTTGCTTTACACTCTCTTCTGCAGGTTTAAACAGTCCGGAAAAAATCCCCCCTCTTCTTCTGCTTCCGAAGGGGGTTCAACAATTTTAAATGATGAAAGTTAATCCTTTACAAACGATTTTCTGAACTCTAGTTTGCCATGTCTTTGCTTTAATCTATCTACAAGAAACGGAAGGCTGACTTCCTGTTTAGACCTTCCCGTTTCAGTGCCAAATTGAGATGAATTTCTTAGTCCAATTTTCCTTTCTACTCGCAGGTCATTATTTATAGTCCAATTGTCCAAAATTAAAGTACTCACGGGTGATTGTTTTAAAAGCCAAATTGTCCCAGGAAAAAGGCAGCGCTCTCCGGCAACGGCTGTGCGGCTTCGCTCCACGGAAGAAGCAGTTGACTCTCAGCACCGCGCCACTTCCCCCTCTTTGCTCCAGAGCCCGTAAATGGGTTCCTTTACGGGTTGGGGGGGGCGCTAAAGGTGCCCGCCGAGTCCCATGGTCACAGGCTTCATCCGCCTGTGATTTTTGAAAGGGTCCCCGCTTCGCCGTAGCGGGAAAGACCCGTTTTCAGTGGAGCTGGTCCCTCCGAATCAGAGGGAATCCGCCATTACCGATGGCACCACCCCGGAAGTCCTAGCCATTATGGCTTTCAGGCACTGATAGCCCTATCCTCCATGAAAGGACCTTCTGTGTTCACTCTTCCACTGTATGCAACCCTTTCCTCCCCTCTTCTTGAGAGCCACAGGTTCCTCATCCCTTGCTCAACAGTTAGGACCACCCTGCTCTTTTCTCATTTAGCTTCTGTTCCATTGTGCATGATTCAGTCCCAACATATTGTCCATTGCCTTCCTTCCCCGTTGATTTTAATGCATGTTTTCATCTGTTTCATTGTCTATTTCTAACCTTTCCCATGCCTTATTGTATTATTCCTTTGTCCTCACTCAGCAGTGCTTTACTGTTTGTTATCAGATGCACATTTAATTAACGAGCTGCTGAATAGCTTTCTCGAAGCCAGTCAATATTCTATCTTCCAGACAGTTAAAAAAAGAGATGCTGAATAAATAACATATTTGGAGCTTTACACCCCAGTCACTTGCTGCTCAGTTGCCCCAGTTTGTGAGTTGCTCTTTTCTTTATGACTTCCAAGTTCTCCCACATCCATTTTACAGAAATAGCTTCTGAAAAAAATCAACAACAATAATCTTCTAAATTGCTTCCATTTTTGTTCTTCCTAATTGATTGCACAATGAAGTTTAATAGTGCAGGCATTTTCAGAATTGTTTAATTTTGTCTTCCTCTTAATTTATTAAAGAACTTGCATCCTCCGAGGAGTTTTCCCCTTGATATATATGTTAACGGCTGCTGGTCTCCCTAACTCCTTAAAGTAAAATTAATATCCTTTCTTCCTTATCTTGCCTTGTGAAATAGGACAACAGAACCAATGCACACACACCCCGGTGCCCCTCACTTATTACATCTTCAACTAGATTTCTTTTTTTTCTGTGCTTCTCTTATTGGTTCCAAAGGGTCTGCTTTGACTTGAATTTGTGTTTCTCTTTCGTTCTTAGAAGATTAATAGTGAGCAGGTCACATAACTATTCACATATTTCCCCCTTCCTTTATTAATAGTCTGGAATATGAAATATGGGCTGAAGAAAGTATATGTATTGTTATAGGGGTGTGAACAGTGCCTAGGGTAGGAAAAAAAGCTCTATCAAAGTAATTTCTCTTGTAAAAAAAAAAAATCTTTATGGCTGTGTGCTGGCAGGAAGTGGCAGGTTATGTGCCCAGATGCTCCAGTATTTGTGGACATGTCTGCAATTTTATGATGTGCATGTACAAGCATGCAGCACTCCACATGATTAGGGACAATGATTTCTCAGGAATCGCAATTGTGTGGAATCCTGTCTGTGCTCATGGCACTTCCAGACATCCTTTTACTGCACATTCATGGTGATTGATGCTCTTGATACCATTGGGATGGTCATCCATGAACCCACTTTCAATACTCACTGCATCTGCAAATTTTTTGAAAGCGTTACACTGCTTCATTTCAGTGAACACATTTCATAACTTTTTATATTTCAGTGTTTGGTCTATTTTTGTTTGAGTTTTTGTTGTGCAGTAGCCCACATCAATGATGTGGTTGCATTGGGGAAGCATCGCAGAAGAAACTAATGCAGAATAAATTTACCATTAGCATACTTCCATTGTGTCAGCTCAACTCAGAGATCGATAGAAAGACAAAGCCTGATTTTAGAATTGAGTCTAGAGTGATGTGACCTAAGAAGCAAAGGAACAAGCAGAGAGATGGAGAGATAGAGAACCATTCCAGATCTCTGAATCCACTGCTGCAGTTATGGTAGAAACAAGACCGTTTTAGGGTGTTACTGCTGTGAACCTCTCCATTGTAGGCTCAGGTTGAATATATGTGTAAATAAACCATAAATACACCACAGTCTCAGCTGTGCCCCATTTCCAAAAGGAAACATGAACCCCAGGTAAGTGCATGGAACCTCTGGAAATCACACCTCTTGGAGATTGGGGTGAATTATATTTCACCTTAACCTTTACTTCTCTCGGCTAAACATGTCTAGCCCTTTCAACCATTCCTCATAGGAAGGTTTCCACAAGAATTCTTGGCCCCCAAATAATTCCATTTATGTGGAACACATGTTATGCTAGAATGCAAAATATGATAGCATTCAACATATTCTAAACTGATGATACCTTTGGCACTGTCTTGGCACTGTTGACTGATACATGTGAGATTTCCCTTGAAATACTTCCAAGAGCATGAGTTAGCTATTTAGAAGTTCCCAAAGGAACATAGTTATGACAAAATACATAATGTAAGATACACAAGGATACCATATAGTGTAATAAAAAATTGTCTTGGCACGGAGAAACGTGAAGAGACACTGTCAAAACTTAATCATTACAGAATGTTATCATCAGAATATTTATTTATTACAGTTATTTATATCTTGTCTTTCAGCTTACAAGAAACATCCCCCACCCAAACCCCACAGTAAACAATATGAATGTAGAAAAAATTACCAGGGTCCTTCTTGTAGTGCAGTTGGTGGTATATGCCCCTATGAGGGGCAGGAGGGTAAAGACCAGCTAGATCCGTCTCTGGGTGGTTTTTGCCTGCCTCTGTCTCTGGGAATCCTCCCCAGAGGATGGTTTGTTTATTTATTTTTACATTTATATTATATCCTGTCCTCCAAAGAGCTCAAGGTGGCATTCAACAAGCTTTCATGGCTGAGTGGAGATTTGAACCCTGGTCTCACAGGTCCTAGTCAGACACTCAAACTGTGGACCACACTGACTTAGTTGATAGTAAATGGTCCATGGGTAAGGGAGGCTGAGGGGTGAGGCCAGGCTTATCCTCTCCTTGCAGAGATTGTGATAGTGCATAAGGCTACTGAGTTTTTTTTTTATAAAAAAACATTCCTCCCATACTCCCCTTTTACTAACCAGGGATGAGGCAGGGTTAGCTTAGAAAGAGAAAAGGGGTGAATGGGCAAAAGCAGGGATGCCAAGCAGGACTGCAGAGCAGAACAGAACAGAGAAGTAGCTTCAGAATGGGGTTGGCAAGGTGAAAAGCAAGCTTAGTGGTTGTATGGGGTAGGAAGGGGATGCTGTAGGGCATTAATATGGAAGGAATGGCAAAGGAGGTGGTAAGTGGAGTGTGTAGAGACAAAGCCCATAAAATATGTATATATACATATACAGACTATGACTGTTTTGCATTTCTGACCCATACACATGTTGGCAGAGCATGTGCAAGCTCCCTTGCCCCCCCTTTTCTGGCCACTTCCAGTTTATGGTGATGCACGTGTGCATGGTCACAACGGTTGTTACTTTGTGCATGCACAAAACGGTTGATACCTGTGCACACGCAAACATACACAGCCTTGTGGATATACTGGATTAACCAAGATGGTGAACTGACCTACTGAACTGTTTCTAACCTGGTTGTGCTCCACTGTTCAGAGGACAATGCTTGCACTTCCACCTTTCCTCCCAGCGTTCCTTGTCATTAACGCCGTGGTGCAAAACACACTTTTATGAATGATTGTACCAATGAAAGTGTCAGTTTATTGCCAATTCTTCTGAACACTGTTGGCAATAAATGAAACTCTGACAGAATGGTAAGGTCAAGATGCAACTCCACTTTGGCAAATTAAAGAAGAAGATAAGAAACATGAAACAACGTGGCTTCTTTATAATCAGAAAGAATAGACAATATGGGGCTGGGTGGATAATATAGGCATACCTCGTTCTGTTGCACGTCACTTTACTGTGGCTTGCAGTTATTTCTCCTAATGAAGATGTAGCTGCAGTCATCTTGGTCCCTTCCAGGAGGAGAAAGCCTTTCTGCTGTCACTGCCTGTCTTCTGGCCTTGAGAGTGGAACTGGCTAGGGGTGGAGCCAGGGGCGAATGAAGGCGTCGTGACACCTGGGGCGGAGCGTTGCTACATAGGGCGCATGTGTTGCGTCACTATGTACAACACATGCACCATACGTAGTGATGCCGCACATGTGCTGTACATAGTGGTTTGCTGGCGGCGCTGCTCCAGCGCCATATGGATGGTGCTGGGATCCCTCTGTCGCCGCTACAGCCGAGAACGGAGGATCCTCTACATGCAGCTGTAGCGGCGATGGACGGATCCCACCACTGTCCATACGGTGCTTGAGTGGAGATGGCGGCAAACCGCTATGTACAGCGTATGTGCGGCATCATTATGTACAGTGCATGTGTGCGATGCCGCACATACGCTGTACATAGTGGTTTGCCGCCGGTACTGGGATTCTCTGCTCACGGCTGCAGCCATGAACGGAGGATCCTCTACATGCAGCAGCAGGGGCACGATGGCTCCTTGCACCGCCACGAGCCCCCGCAGGGTGTCTTCTTGTCACCCCCCCAGACATGGCACCCGGGGTGCACCGCCCCCCCCATTGCGACGCCACTGGGTGGAGCTGGGGTTTGCCCTTCCAGCCAGGGGACCTTGACTTAATAGACCACAGTATAATATGACCGTAATTTTAAATGCACTGGGAAACCAAAAATATATATTGTGTGACTCACTTTATTGTAATTTTTGCTTTATTGTGGTGGTCTGGACGCAAACCTGCTATAGTCTGCTCAGTTTCACCTTTTGAGTTGGGTGTTGCACCTATCCTGTTGAACAGCCTGGAATGTTTAATCCTGTACTGCTTTCCATTTCTTAGTCACTCTAGAATAGGGATAGGGGACCTGTGGCCCTTGAGATCTTGTTGGTCTTGAACTTCTATCAGCCCTAGCTAGCATAGTCAAGGATAGTGAAAATTATAGCCAAACAACCTCTGCAAGGCAAAAGTTCATAAGACCATAAAAAGCTCTACTGAATCAGGTCAAAGTCCCATTTAGTCCAGATGCCCTTGGGGAGTCCACAAGCAGGGCCCCAGTCCAACACTGCTCTCCTCAGTTATGATTCCCAGCATAGTGCCTCTAACAGTGAACTAGCCATCATGGCTAGTAACCAATGTTAGTTTTATCCTCCATGAAAGATCCCCATCCCTGCTCTAGAACATGGTAGATGTCTGAAAACTGAAGTAGCAATAAACGACAAAAGTATGCACATCAAATTTGCAGATGAAACCAAACTGGGAGGGGTAGTTAATGCTGCAGAAGACAGAACCAGAATTCAAAATGACCTTAACAGATTGGAGAACTAACAAAATGAATTTCAATAGGGACAAATGTAAGGTCCTGCATTTACTCAGGAAAAACCAGATGCACAAATATAGTATGGGGTAGACTTGGCTTACTTGCAGTACATGTGAAAAGGATATAAGAGTCTTGGTGGACCACAAGCTTAACATGAATCAACAGTGTGATGCAGCAGCAAAAAAAGCTAATTCTATTCTACGCTGCATCAACAGAAGTATAGTGTCCAGATCAATGGAACTTATAGTACCATTCTATTCTGCCTTAGAATACTATATCCAATTCTGGGCACCACAAATTCAGAAGGAGGCTGACAAGCTGGAACATGTGCAGAGAAGGGCAACCAAGATGATCAAGCGTCTTGAAACTAAGCCTTATGAGGTGCGCTTGAAGGAACTGGGTATGTTTAGCCTGGAAAAAAGGAGAGGCGGTCACATGGAGGAGGGAGCATGCTTGTTTTCTCCTGCCCTGGAGGGTAGGACTTGAACCAATGGCTTTGGGTTGCAAGAAAAGAGATTCCGACTAAACATTTGGAAAAACTTTCTGACAGTAAGAGCTGTTTGACAGTGGAACAGACTCCCACATGAGTTGGTGTACTCTCCTTCCTTGGAGGTTTTTAAACAGAGTTTCGATGGCCATCTGTCAGGGATGCTTTAGCTGAGATTCCTGCATTGCAGGGGGTTGGTCTAGATGACCCTTGGGGTGCCTTCCAACTCTAAGATTCTATGATTTTATGAAAAGCATGTGTGTTTTAAAGGAAGTATATCTATAATGTAACACTCTACAATAATAGGAAGTATTCCGTTTCTCTGTCTTCTTTTTTAAACCAATTAAAACATTTTCCACAGAAAAATAGAACTGAGCTGGGCAATTTTTTTTAAACATCACTTGGAAGAAAGGACCAGGTTAAAAACTAACCACCACAAAATGCAAGAACCAGTTAGGCAACAGCAGGATGACTAGGAACAATCACTTGCATAGTTCTAATTCTGGCAAGGTCAGTGGAGGTTGCCTTCAGCTTGGCATTACAATTTAGCTTACTCATACTGCAGGGTGAACAGGAGAAGAGCTCCCCAGGAAGAGCGGAGTTTTTGAGATAAAAAGTGTTGCAATGAAAGGGGACAAAGCAGTGATAACCCAGTGCTTGAAGAGTAAGAGCTGTGGCTAAAAGAAAACCAATTGGAGGGGGAGGTGGAAGTTCTTGTCATAGAATGAGATTGCTGTCACCTTGAAAATGAACACCCAGATGTGAGGAGAGAACAGTATCTTGACATCAGCCAACCTGGCAGATGTCACTGGAGCAGCCACAACAGAGCAGAGGAGAATGAAACCTAAGATGAGATTATTTTCAGTGATCTTTGTGATTCTTTGGCTAAACTGGTCAGGTCAAGGTGCAAATGATGGTGGCAGTTTTAGGGACTGGCTCATTTAAGGATGCTTCTGCAGTTGCAGTTCCTTTATATGGCTATTAAGAATAAGACTTGGCAGGAGGCCAGGTTGCAATTAGAGCAGTACCAGTTTTGACAAGTGCAATTTCTCAGTCATTTCACTGACCTTGAAATCGGTTGTTTAGTTTCAAGTGTACATCAGTTGTATCCCATAGGAGAGGTGAAACTCTGTTGGTGGGAAAAGTGGCTGCCATTTTGTTTTCCTCAGAGATTTCTGTTCTGAAGTGCTTTTTGAGTTTTGGGAAATGGCTAAGACAAGAGTGGAGAACTGTTTAAAAGTTCAGAAACAAGCAGGCCTTAAAAACCAGAGGAAAAAAAGGGGGGGTACATGTTGCTTAAAATAAGTTGAGGTGGGAAATCTCTCACTCTCTCTTTTTTTAACATAATGTTTATTATCATCACACATTAATGACATAAAACTCAACAAATATCACACAATACACAGTACATACATTTCATACAATACCTACCCTCGTACCTTTACATTGGACATCACACCACACATATTTGACTTCCCACTTTCCTCTTAATGCTATGTTATCAATCTTAACTTAATGTGCTGGTCCTGGGGGCTAACTGAGAGGCGAGGTCGATGGTGTGGTATGGAGGCTGTCCGTCAAAGCTGTAGCTGGGTCCAATGCAGGGAGTCGGGTGGGGTCAGGAACTCTGGCAGAAGAGCAGAACTAAATAATTTTAAAACTTAAGAGCAGAAAATCAAACATCAGAACCAGAACCAGGTAAGATAAAAGGCATTTGTTAAAACCTGGCTAAATTAAAAGGGTCTTTACCTGGAGCTGAAATTATAATAAAGGCATTCTAAACATAGGGCACCAACACTGAAAAAGCCCTATCGCCAGTCACTACACACCCGTCTCCTGAAAGTCTGAAGATCCATTGAGGGATCTCAGCTGAAGAACTCAACATCTCGGCAGAGCTTAGTGACAGGAGCAAGTGGTCCTTAATGTATGCTGATCCTATGATGTAAAGGTCTTTAAAGGTCAAAACCAGCAAGAGTTTAAGAGGGAAGGAATTAAAATACCAGGAGGCAATTACATATTTTATAATGGGCAAGATGAGCATCAGTTTTTCAGTTCACTGGGTTGTTGGCCCTGACGTAAAGGACACCCTGATGTATTTTTGGAAAAGTTGAACTGTGTAAGGAACACTCATCTGTGACACTGGCATTAGAAAATTAGGCAGATTACTGAAGAGCTCTTTTTAAAAGATGGATTAATATTTTCTATGCAAGTAAGTGTTCCTACTCTAGGGCATTTGTTTAGTCAAATGAAGCAAGAAAGAAATGAGGTAATAGAACTATTTGTCACTTGTATGCTTTAAGTGGGGGAGAGGGAGCAGAAATTATGAATTTCTTTGGCACTGCAAATGCGTTTTACTAATAAAAAAATACTTGGTGATTTTTAAGAGAACACTTTAGAGAGGGCTGATTTTTAGCTTGTGCCAAATAAACTTGACTTCGCCGTAAAAAATAACCCAGAAAGAAATTGACTAATAAGTTTCCAGACCTTGTGAAATAGCGGCCTTCTCAGGCATGATGTTAAGAGTCAAGTGGCATTGACATTATCACTCTCCTCTCCACCCACACTACCCAGCTGCAAATGATAGTTTGCATCATACACCTTAAAGTAAAGGGTCGGAGCATTTTCTCTGTTATGTCTGTAAATCTGCTTGAATTATGCTGCTCAAAAGTTAATACACCAGCACGGTGTATTAAGATGTGTGGGATTTTCAAGCATGCTATCATGCTGATGTCTATTAATGGCATCAATCAATGGAACTCTGATAGACCCTAATGCATGCTTTTGTTGTTGATGATGATTATAAGGTTCTGCCTCTGCAGCCATCAATAGCCTTTTCACAGAAGTTACATATCTAACTTACCCCCCTCTCTTTATGGTTTACTAAAAAATTTCAGTGAGGGAGTAAAGTGAAAGAAAAGGGTGTGGGGGAGGAACCCCCCCCCCCCGAAATTATGATACAATATGTGAGTACAGTGCTTTTTGTACCCCTAAACATTTTGTGAATCTAACAGGAGAAGAAACTTTTTTTTTTTTTTAAAAAAAGTTGTTTCTTCTCTAGCACGGTGAATTGTCAGTTCTGTTGAAAAGCACGTTGAATCGTCAGTTCCATTGCTACCACCGATAGGCAGCCCCATTTCCTGTCACGGTGTTTCCTGAGTCTCAGATGGAAGCGAGCATTTAATGTGTGAAGTAGGGGTTGGAATCTAGCACAGTGATTGGTCATTTTCATTGTTAGTGCACACAACCTCATGCCAATGTGGAAGTTACTGTGTGTTGTCAGCTGCCTAATATGAGGCAATGCATGTTCTTTGTCCATTTGTCCATTTACTGTATTTATTTTTCCTGATTTGAACTATAAAATGGTGATTTTGTTGAGTCAAAATGAGAGTACCCCTAAACATTTTTTTTTGAAAAAGCACTGTGTGGGTATATAAATTTATAGGGGGCCACATGCCAGTGATGGGCCAGAGGCAAAAGTGGGTGAAGCAATGAATACAAAGTTTACCTTTGCACAATAGGCTAAATTCAACTCACACACCCGTCTCCAGCCACCATCTGGGCAAGCAAGGGTCATGATCAGAGTTTGCAGACACATTGCAGCCAGGG